ACTGGAAAAGAGAGCATTTCACCTTAGCTGCAAGATTTACCGGAGAAAAGTGAATTGAAAAATTGTGTCACTGTGAAACTTTCAATTTTAATCTAATATGAGAGAAGACGAAACAAACCTCTTTGTTATCTTAATATTTTAACAATAAATCATTATTTTTATATAGTTTTTTTTTTTTTATCAAAGAAGCCCATGCTTCTATTGTGGGTTATACCGACAAAACCAAAAACTTTTAATGTTTTGTACTAAATGAAACTTTTTTGGGGTCAAAGTACTAAATGAAACTAAGATTCAAAAAAATGCCCATAATGTTTTAAAAGAAAATTAGATGCCCTACGCTAAGGCTTATGGAGGCACGGCTCTGTTTGTGTTGATAGTTGAAACGCTTTAAGATGTGATAAGATCAATGATGTTATTAGCAAATGTGTTTTGTAACAAACTAGAAAGTGATGTTATCATCTTCACCTCATTTGGGTAGCGCTTTTATGTAAGTGAATTAAGGCGTGTGAATGTCTAAATGCGTGAGAAAAGAAAAAGGCAAATAGCAAAAGGTTTAGGCAAATATGATGTGATACTCTCAACAACTTTTTTTTTTTATACCTACTCGCAAAGAAATATATAAACCATTTGTCAATAACAAATCGGATCATAAAATTTTTTAATATAAAATGTTATTGAGGTAACTAATATGTAATATTGTTAAATGTTTTTTTTTATGCTAAAAGGTAAACATTTCATATAAAAATGAATCGTTTCAGGTTTACAATCGATACTATAAACCTATACAATGGTTCAACGGCAAAAAATATTATTATATGTTTAGTTATTCAAAAATAATTCTACACCATATCTTTGGGATTTACAGGAAGATATAAAAACAAAACATTTAGCTCGCTTTAATACTCACTCTCATTACGATATTTGTATTTTACACCTTTTTACGAGGACATTAGCAAAAAAAAAAGATTTAACATAGATGCATGCCCTCACGTATGTTGCTGGGCATGGCATCATCTCGCTCCTTTCTAAATTTGATTCTCAATTGATCATCTTCGGTGAGCATGGTTACACTACGCTGGGAATAAAATTTGACCTAATTGAACTTTCGGTAGGATAATTTTTTTGGTTAGACTAACTCATCTTTGAGATTAGTCAGACTTGTATGAGATATTGGTTATTTGTGTCTGATTTGGTCCTCAATTAGACCTCGCACCTTCCAAACCAGTGCCAAGCACGGCTCTTATACGCAATTTAAAGTTTGAATCTTATTGCATTGCGATATTCATCTAGCATTTGAGTAGGATGTGATCGTCTGAGCTAGGAGCCTAGGACACAAAAGACCAATTTTCTAAGACAATACATCAATAGGGTTTCTAAGAGTGGATACAAGATTGGCTCATTCTCTATTCATATGTTGTGTATAATCAAGAAAAAGTGAATGAGATTGGTAGATAAAAATTAGATATATAACGTGTGGAATATGTGAGAGAAGAGAGACAGAAAAAAGACAGAAAGGCCAAGACTCGACAAATTGGGTTTGATGAAGTGTGATGCCAAACTTGTGTTTGTCCCAAGACAGACAACCCCGAGAACGAGCCTCAATGGCGTGAACCCTTTTCCCAAACCTTTACATAATAAATTTATATATTTTCTTCAAATTTGTTTTGGAACTCTCACTTTTGTGTTTCGTGCACACACATACATTATTATTATAATACATAATATAGAGATTCTTGTAGATAGATACATGTACTTATGTGTGTGTGTAAGTTCCTTTTGGTTAATATA